GGAGAGATTCTATCAGAGAGAGAGAGAGAATAGATGCTACCCCAATTATGAGACGGACAAAGGTTTGTTTGGGATTTGGGTTGATTTTTTTAGTTTTTTTTAATTATTTTAGTTTGGGTTAAAAGTGTTTTTTAGTTTTTTTTTTGATATTTGTAAGAAAAAAATGAAAATGATTATAGTTTGAATGTAACATTTTGTTTTATTAGGTTAAAAAGGCTATTTTGTCTTTTTATGGCTATTTTAGTTAAAAAGTCTCATTTTAGCTTATGTCAAACAAAGGCCAAAAGTTGGTAATTATTCAGTAATTCCAGAATATGAACACGTGGTATTCCATAGTGTTATGATTGATGGAAAATGTGGATAGGTAAGGTATTATATTGGGTGATTGGAGAACATGAATGAACACATTAAATGATGATTGATTGAAAAGTACAGACACGTGGTACTCCAGAAATATTTAGGGTTGTTTGGAATGTCCTAAATAAATGCACTTTTTGGGCCTTTTGAACAAAAAAGTTGAGGGAAAAAAGATGGTTATTTGGGATAATTTTTTGACTTTTTATGAAAAAATGTGTATTAAAATATTTATAAAATAACAAAATTACCATTTTATTCCTATGCCCTATGCATAGTGACAGTGACTATTGAAGGAAGCAATACGGAATGCTTTGAATTGTGTATAGGGGCAGACATGCTTCAGATTTATATATATAAGATGAGGCTTTCTTTTAATCCTTCATCGGACTAGAGGGGCTTACCACGGGTCTCATTTCAATCATCCGAACTGTTCAATATGTAGAAATCGTTAAGTACTATATGCTTGTAAAAAACCACGTTGATCGGATATCGATAGTTATGTGATCAAAGCAGTTTTGTATAAAAAAATAGACGATTAAAAATAAACGACTGAAAAAAATTTGATTTGATCACATAGCTATCGATATCCGATCAACGTGATTTTTCACGTGTATATAGTACTCGACGAGTTCTATATATTGAACAGTTTCGATTACCAAAACGGACACATGGTAGGCCCCCATGGGCCAAACAACACCGTTTTTTTGTAAATTTTTTTGTGTAGCCAATTAGGTAATTTGTATCATCTGGTTTGGACTATACCATCATGTCAATGACTTTTGGGTTGTATTTTTTTTGTGTAAATTTATTTTTTTTATATATATATTTTTTGTGAATACTGATAACTTTTTAACTTTTTTAATAACTTTTTAACTTTTCTAGACTATGACAACCAGCCTTAATAATTTCCCTTAAAGTTGTTTCCCTTGCTAATAATTCACCCTCCACCTGAAGGTGTAATTGTTCAATAATTCCAGAATATAGACACGTGGTATTCCATAACATTGTGATTGGTGGAGAATATGGGTAGGTGGAGTATTGTATTAGGTGATTAGGAAATATGAGAAGACATATTGAGCCCCAATTTGATTTTCCTTCTAAACTAAAAAATCATAAAAGGACAAAAAAAAAAAAAAAAGTCAAAAAGTTAAAAAGTCAAAAATACAAAAGGACAAAAAAAGTTTGCCATTTCAAAGTCAAAAAACAAAAAAACCCTAACAAGAAAACCAAACAACAAAAAAGTGTCAGGCTAAAAAAATCAAAAAAAGTCAAAAAGTCAATTAAAAAGGTCATTACCAAACGATCCATGAATGATAATTGATTAAGAAGAACGGACACTTAGGTGCCGTTTGGTAACACTTACGTTTTCAGTTTTCTGTTTATATTTACAAAAATTTTTAAAAACTCAAATAAAAACTTGTTTGGTAAAATTTTTGATTTATAAATCAGTGGTCTCAGTTTATAAATTTGGCCAAAAATGAAAAACACAAAAAATGTGTTTCCATTTTGGGTTTTCAGTTTTTTTTTTTTTAACCACCCAACACTAGCCACCACCCGCCACCATTTTCCACTACCGCGTCTTCCGCCACTCACCCACCACCCACCCCCCACCCACCACCACTTGCCACCACCTGCCACCACCACTCACCACCCACCTGCCACCCCCATCCGCCACCACCACCCACCCCTTGCACACACCACCACCACTACCACCCACCACCCACCTGCCATCCACCACCCGCTACTACCATCCACCGCCCGCCACCACCACCCGCCACCTATTTGCCATCACCACTCACTACCCACCTGCCACCACCATCCACCACCTACCACCACCAGCACCTGTCACCCACCCACCCACCCTCCCCCACCACCACCACCACCACCAACCATCACCCACTACTCACCCGCCACCTACTTGCAACCACCACCCACTCGCTACCACTTACCACCCGCCACCGTTACCTACTCACCCACCCACCACCACCACCACCACCACCACCACCACCACCATCACCCGCCACTCACGCCGCCACCTACTTGCAACCACACCCACTCGCTACCACTAACCACCCGCCACCGTCACCCACTCACCCACCCACCACCACCACCACCGCCACCATCCACCTCCACCCGCCATCCGCCACCCACTTGCCACCACCATCAACCACCCGCCGCCACCACCGCCACCACCACCACCACTACCCACTCGCTACCACCACTACCCACTCGCTACCACCCACCACCCGCCACCGTCACCACCCAAACCACCGTCACCACCCACCATCACCTGCCATCCGCCACTCATCTGCAACCACCACCCACCGCCACCCCTCCACCACCACCACCACCCACTCGCCACCACCCACCACCCG